GCGAAGTATTAGTGAAAATAGAAACAAAAAGGACACATACTTAGCGTAAGAAAGTGACAGCTGAAGTTTCTAGAGCACATATTCAAGAAAGAGGGCTTAGAAAATTTGACACTCACGGGACATTTAAAAGGCCAGAGGCAAATTACGGATAACCTACCTAACGAGCTTTTGTAAACGGATGGCAGAACAGGGTTTAGGAGTAATGTCAAAAGGACAAAATTTAATAAGAGCTACAAAGGAGAGGAAATTGTGGAGAGCCATAACCGCCCACGCCCTGATGGGGTACAGTAGATAGAAGAGGAATAGCAACACCAGTTAAAAAGAAAGAGTGTTGTTAAAATTAATAAAGTAATTTTGTTCATTATTTACATTATTCGGACTATTGTCCTCATCTTTATCACAACTGAACCCTTTATTTCGCTCACTGGGGTAGACTGTTCTAGTTCCACGTGACATGTTTGATGGATGTCAGTTATCAGTTATCTCCTGGTAATTTCTCTGTGAAAGTTCTCCACTGCCTTAACCGGGTATATAAAATGAAAAAGCAACCATTTTAATTACTGAATATGAAAGATTTCATTCATATTTTATAGCTTAAAATGTCAAACTGGTTATATATATATATATATATATATATATATATATATATATATATATATATATATAAAGGATATTTGGAAAAGAAATCAACAAAAATTGACATTCTGTTTCATTGAAACAGACTGTCGCCCTCAGGCTTTACTTTATGTTGAATTTTATATTTACACTACGAAACATCTCTGATATTAAAACTTTTAAAAACAAATATAAATTTTTTTTTAAGATATATATATATATATATATATATATATATATATATATATATATATATCCATGGACAAAATTTTGGGGCAGGTGTAAAAAAGTTGGAAAGATGATTGAATTGTCTCGTACATATATTAGCTGAAAGTACTATAATAACATTCTTGAAAACTGACGTTTCACTGGCATTTTGGTAGGGGTGGTTCCAATAATCATTTGACCCAGGTTCATTTTTACTTATTTTTATGTAAGTTAAAACAGATGGGTAACAGATTGAACAAATATTTACAACAATTCCCCACGGGTAAAAAACCCAAAAGGCCGAATTTAATTTGGGATTTTTTGAAAACGTAGGCTCGAATAAAAATTCCACGTAAATTCCGCATAAACAGGTTTGGGTCTGTTCCAAATAAAGGCGAGGCTTTGCCGAAAGGCAGAGTCTCGTCCGGGTTTCTCCCTGCCTTTGGGCAGAGAGTTCGACAACAGTCAAGATCTGAAAGGAATTATAAAATGAGGTCATTTTAGTCCGTTGACTTACAGATACTTATCGGTTGTTACTACCTATAGTGACAGGTTATTCCATTATATCAGTTATCCGTAACGACAAAGGTCTGAAGAAGGCTGGAGTTGCCCTTCTGAAACGTTCTGATAACAGCAACAACAAAAATTAAAAAATTAGTAAATAATGCTATGTAGCTAGAAATTAACATAATATGTGAGAGTACCCAATGAGGATTAAACTCACTACATTAGTGAACTGGTTTGTTAAATGAACATGCTTCGCACTGTGCTACGAGACTCTATGGTGATGTTATGGAAAGAGAAATTTTTTTCCATAAATTGAAACGCCAACATATTATGAGAAGTCCGGTGAGTCCACACAAGTCGTATATAGTCTGCGAGATATACAGGGTGATTGAAAAGTAACTCTCTGCTTTATGTGTGATGGACTCTCCCTCTGATTTTTACAACACCGGAGAGTTCATCATACATAAAATAGGGAGTTACTTTTCAATCATCCTGTAGCTTGTTAGATTGTAATCCACAGCGAGGCATCCGGTCGTTATTTTCGAAGATTAGCCTAGTGTAGTTAAGGATCAAACTAACTACCTCAGCGAATTGACATGCAAGACGAAATCGTTAACCATAACGCACTAGAGATAGTGTCAGCTATAATCTGGACAAATATGAGAAAGCTAATTCGATTACGTTCTAATTAACATTCAACCAGTTCGTTTGCTATGAATCAAGTAGTCAAGTATTTTCAATGCTAATGTCGTTTGTTGCGATTAAATTAACTTGGTATTTTTCCTCACAGTTGTTTTAATCAGGAAAACAACTGCTCAGTCAATAAAAGAAAGGTTTTCTGTTGCATTCAATAAATGAACAACAAGAATAATTTTTTCTGAATAGATTAAACATTCCAAGTGTTTCGGCGTCTCTTCGGCGTCTCTTCAGCGTTTTTTCAGCGTGTCTTCAGCGTTTTTTCAGCTCTTGTAAAGGTAGAAGATAGTAGGAGGATTAAGGTACTTACTGGAGCAGTACAGGGAATCGACTACTTTTATAGCATCTTTAACGATAGACCTTATTTTTTTTATCGGATTTACCTCAAGCGTGGCAGTAAAGCCATTAAGACAGAAGGGGTTACTACATGTGAAAGAATTAGAAAACAGCAAACCTTAACTAGGAGCGAGAACAATAAAAGAGTGATCAGGAAGCCAGTAAATAACGACTGGCATTGCATTTAGAATTTTTGAAGATCAAAGTTGACCGGAAAGCATGAAGCCTGAAAAGAGTTCCACAAGTGAGAAGTACGAGAAAATAAACTGTTAGCATTGAACTTACGGCTACATCTAAACAAAATTGATGGACCTTTCCGCCAATCTAGTACTGCGCTTAAATTCATAAAGTCTAGGTACCATAAACGAAGAACGATATTTATTTGTAATTATTTACAGAATGTGGCACAAGGCCAAAATGGGTAATGGGGAAAGGGTCAGTCTTCATCGATCTTAACTTTAAACTTAGTTAGTCACAAACACTGACACAAAAATACCACACTATTCCTAATACTAAAACAACACATTCTTATTTACTTTTCTCACTTCATTCACCATAATACCTCATTGTCTCTATGAAAATTCTAACTAGTCCTCATATGTACAATTCATTGTCTGTGGCGGGAGGGGAATAAAACAATAATTAAAAAAAAAACTAGCCTCAATGTGTACTCATAATATGAAAACAAAACTATTTACAAAGGAAAAAAAGCAAGAAAAAAACAAAACAAATAAAATAATGTTAGTAATAAACCCCTTACAATCCTTAAATGTGGCAAAAACATCAGTTCACTGGACGAAATCAATGCGGGACTTTCATAATATAAAATATTCATTCATCCCATGCATTCGCCCAACCACACACTCATTCAAACACGAAAAACACTCCCAAAACAAAAGGCATCCCGCATCCACCAGAAAACTGACATCACCTAAAGAGGGAGGAGATGAAGAATAAACTAAAGAAAATAGGGACAGAAATAAAATCATCTGAATAATTATCTTGAAAGTATTTATAAAAACAACGCGAAGGAAGGTAACCTTATGGCTGTGGGAAAGTAACTGAAGCCGAAACGCTAGATCAGGACCAGTAATATTGCAAATTCTTTGGATTTTATCAGGAATCTCTAAATAAATAGCAGGAGCACCAGACCATATTTGGCAGCAATATTGTAAGCCTGGGCGAATGGTAAACTTATAGATATCTCTATCTATAAAAGACAGGATTGCACGGCCGCAATTTTCGACGGATTTGCACCAAAATTTACATACACATGCTCCAAGTTAGCGGTAAGGCCAAGACCTACTTTGCATTTCCCAACTCCCATCGATAGTAGAAATAATCGATTTTTTCATGCTTCTACGACAGTTTTCATGTAGTTTGCGGCCATTTTCTACTGGCCAGAATGAGAGCCTATAGCTGGCTGCCACGAATAGGCAGGAAGATTCTATTGGCCAGCGTGAGAGCCAACAGCTGACTGACACGAATGTTAACTAGCATGCTAGCATGCAAAAAAAAAAAAATTGATAGCTGCATTCGTCACAAGTGGGAAAAATTTAAATCTGTATGGCACTTTACTCCAGTTGGCTCATTCGCTTGCTTAAACTCAACGTTGATTCTGATTCCGCAGAACTGGGTTGGGTGTGAAAAAGTATTTGTTGTTAACATTCTTTTTTCATTCGGTTTTTCCAGTTACGAGTCCTTTTTTTTTAAAGCTGATCGTTTTGTGTTCATTTTGTTTAGTTCTTTTTTCGTAACAGATTTAATGTTTAGTATAGAGCTTAGAAAACATTCGCAGTGTGAGATAGGCAAGAAGTAAGGCATGTAGCAACATCAGCACGGCAAACGGCACTCCTTTAAAGGTAAGGAAGTGCAAAAATATTTTAAGTCAAGTGATAGAGATTGTTGTATGAGTCGTAGGATTTTTGAATCAAGCACGGGCAACGCCGGGCCATGTTGCTAGTGTAAGATATATTCTGGAGCGAAAAATTGTCTAGCATGACACAGTGAACCTACTTTCTTAGTAGTTGATCTGGCAATGGATTCAATATAATCTTTCCATTTCATGCCAGCCCAGAATGTTAACCTGAGAAGGCGCAAGGAGAAAAAGGAGAAAATCTCCCGAAGGTTAACATTAACCATTCTGATAGAAAGGGTACTCTCAGATGATTAATAATGATCATTTCCGAGTTCCACTCAAGATCTGGGTTGTGTTTAAGTCCCAATAGGTGCTCAAGGGACCCTGCCTCATTGAGATGGCACCTGTTCAAAGAGATAGGCGAATATTCAGTGTCCACTCGGCGATACTAAAAATAATTTGAATGAGAATATTTTCTGCACCTTCAGGGATAATTGAAAGCTAAAAGCTTTAACTTGTGTCGTCCACTTGAAATTTAACTTTCAGATTTGATAATGTCACGTCATAACCTTTTAAATAGAATAAATTTGAAATGTAATTGACGTCAACAATTAAGTTTTTTTTGTGGGGTGTAACGTGTTTTAAAATAGTTTTGATAAACGTTAACAAATTCAATAGATTAATAACCTAATCTATGGGTCTGTGTATGCAAATCTCCGAGACGGAAGATAATTCATCAAACTTCTTTCTTTCTTTCTTTCTTTCTTTCTTTCTTTCTTAGTCTGTTGTGATCTATCTATCTATCTATCTATCTATCTATCTATCTATCTATCTATCTATCTATCTATCTCTTTCAGTCTGTTCATTATCTATCTGTTTATCTCAGTATGCCAATTATCTATTTGTCAATCTATCTCACTATGGTTATTGTCTGTCTGTCTGTCTGTCTGTCTATCTATCTATCTATCTATCTATCTATCTATCTAAGTCTGTTCATTATCTATCTGTTTATCTCAGTATGTCAATTATCAATCTATTTATCAATCTATCTCTGTATGGTTACTATCTATCTATCTATCTATCTATCTATCTATCTATCTATCTATCTATCTATCTCCCGGATGGTATTGTAGGGATCGACATGTGAATTGGGTAAATATTTTCTACCGCATTGCAAGTACTTAAGTTGCTTGGACAGTTAATAATGTTGAGTCGAAATCGGTTTGATATTTGCCTGTGAAACACGGAATATCCTTTCATTCAGAAAGATTCGAACCGTGTAGAATTCTCAAATTTCGGCCTCAACTCGGTAAAGTGGGTAAATATTTATCTAACCAGGACTGAATATTCCCATGGACTCAGAATTGGATAACATTGGAAATCAATTTTATTACTAAGTCCATTTCTCTTCTCCAATAACTGTTACTAGTGTTACAGCTGGGAAAGAAGGTCATGTTTAGTCGACTGAATGATCTGTCATGTCGATTCAAATGTTTTTTCAACGCCATGATAGGCAAATCTTAGAAATGCATTTGAAGGTTTGCTTACGTCTCTATTGCTAGTACGTATATACTATTTTAGAAATGTTTTAAGAAAAGTGATAATTTGGTTTTATTTTGGTAAAAAAATTATGGCTGAATATGAAGTTCAAATCAATGTCTGTTAACTTTGGGTTTAATCTGGACAAAGTTACGCAACTCTGGAAAAATTACAGAAACTTAATGGTAATGCTATACTAGCTGTAAGTAGGTGTCAAGAATGAATAGTAAAGTTGAAAAAGAAGATACTGAAAGATTTCAAAATTTAAATTTTGAAGAATTGGAAAAAAACAAACGCCAAACCTGGATAAACGTGTCTGCAATAGGATGGAGTATCAAAAGAAAGGTTTTTCCATGATACCACTTTTTTTGACTACCTCCACTCTTTGGCAACGTCTATTGTTTTAAAAAGCGATGATTAGAATTGTAATAAAACCTAAACATATGAAAGCAAATTTATACATTTTTTCTTCTTTAGAATTGACAATAAAATAATAAACGCTATATACACTGTTTAGATTATTCGGACAATTGTCCTCATCTTTGTCGCCATGTTTATCACAACGTTTCGGCCGTTTGCAATATGAGCACTGGTAAACAAAAATTATTTCTGAAGACATTAGGTTTACAATACCCAGAAATTCATACACAGATGTCCTCAAGGACACATAGATAAAGGCGTTAGTCAGATCCAGTGACAGGACACAAAGAGTGCGAGTTCAATACCTGGCTAAGGCGGTGGAAAACTTTGAGAGGGGAATAAACAGGAGATAACTGACATCCATTAGACATGACACGTGGAACTAGAACAGTTTACCCCAGTGAGCGAAATAAAGGGTTCAGTTCGACATTCCAACCACCTTGTGATAAACATGGCGACAAAGATGAGGTCAATAGTCTGAATAATGTAAATAGTGTACCTCATCTCGGAAATAGATACTAAACGCTATATATTTATTAGACTATTTATACTATTTATTTATTAAATTATTTATTAGAATGGTTGGCAGAACATTGGCTAATTGCCAATTCATTCAAATTTTATAAAATACTAAATAATAAGGATTTCCTTTATTTTGGTTCATATATTTTAATATAAATTATCAAAATATGTGAATCAAAATAGAGGAAATTTTTATAAATTTATGAATAAAATTGATCGGTGATTCTGCTATTTTTTGCGAATGAAGCGTAACAAAAGATCATGAAGCTAATATAGGAAATTCTTCATAATTCTTCCATATTTTGGCGCATTTCTTATTTCTGTCAATTTCATACGGCCACTTGTTTCGCTCTGAGAAATATTTCTTGTCTTGATATCTGTTATGGTAAACCCTCTTACAGTATAATGAACTCTTCCTCCTCTCATAAATACAAACTGCGAGAGTCGGACAGGAGCGCAAGAATGGTGAAGTGAAGAGGATTAGTAGACGCAGTGCTAATCTACTTATTACTAACTATTGTTTTGTATATATCTTCAATATACATTTTCAACCTACCTTCGTCTTCTGTGTCTTTCTTTCTGGCCCCTAAAAACGCACAACAATATATATATATATATATATATATATATATATATATATATATATATATATATATATATTTGTTGTAAACAGAGTTACAGTATAATGAACTCTTCCTCCTCTCATAAATACAAACTGCGAGAGTCGGAGAGGGAGCGCAAGAGTGTGAATGGAGGGTGTAGTAGACACAGTGCTAATTACTTATTACTAACACTTTTGTTTTGTATATATATCTTCAATATACTTTTTCAACCTACCTTAGTCTTCCGTGTCTTTCTTTCTGGCCTCTAAACAGGCCACAACAATATCGTTTAATGCAATTTCAAGATAGAACGACAGAATCCCTCTAAGAACCAAGGAATCGTTATTTTATCATTCTTTGATTATTATGGTGTTATTGATTCAAGGAGTGAAATCACACGCGGTTACCTCAGACGATTTTTACTGACTGGTCCTCTTCTGCTCAACCTGGCTTCATTCCCGTTTGCGTCGATGAGAACAAAAACTGCGCTCAACGAAGGGACGGAAAGTGAAACATCATCACCACCGAAAAAGAAAACATGAATCCCGTTTTTGAGATAGGGATGGGGTCTTTATACATGGATTCACCTGGCACTGTCTGAGAGCAGGTAAACGGTAATCAGGATATCTTCGAAGCTAATTCTGTTTTTCTCATGGCAGACTAACGGACCAGACCTAACCATCGGTCGTGGAGAACTCTGTTTTTATAATTCTTCTTAATTTCACTGTCATTCTAACTCTGACGCTTTCCGACCGACTATGTGACTTTTCCGTGGCTCTTACTCTCACTGTGATTACCTATACATTCTGACTGTCTCTGACCCTCGATACCTTCTTCGACTACGACTGGTCATATCTACATCTCGATCAACGGCTTTTGACTAAATCTAGAATGCACTCAGAATATATGTTCATGACCGGAAATCCCTACCGGGTGAGTGGCACTTGATCCCGAACGTTTTAAACATTTTATTTCACATTTTTTTCACATTATATTTATTTTTTCCTACTTATGGACAGTGCGTAGTTACTTTAAAGCTATCACTTTTTGATTTTATAGCCGATACGAACGGTAGACAAAACATCAGTTGCTTGGGCCCAGATAAAATTATTTACAGTTCACTTGACTAACTGGGTGTCCTAACCAACTGAGCGGAGACCATTGTGTCAGAAAAGGAAATTCTTTGATGAATGAATAATAATGCTATAAATTTATGAGAACAAAAGATTTTTATCACTGAAAATGCTGGAAACTTTTATAACCCCCTTACACAGTGGAATGTCCAATTTAGCTGAAATATGCTTTAAGGACACAGAAGTCCACGGAAAATACATTGATGTTTAAATAATAATAATATTAATGTAAATGTCGGAAATTTGACCATCAGCTTAATATCTTTTGCTTTGCTCAGTAGCTGAAGTAGTTTTTTTTTTTTTATGCGATGTTTTCTCTATCTGTCTATGTTTTATTTTTATTAATCCACTCAAACATATTTCACAGGAATTCATTAATAATAAAGAAAAGGAAGTTGTGGAGAGCGGTGATTGTCCCTGTCATGAAGGGACATGATATATACAATTCACAGGTAATAAATACAGGAATCTTTGGAAAAGGCATGATCGCCTACGACCTTAAGGGATATGATAGTGTAGTTTTTTTAATCAAATTTACCCCAAGTAATGCAGCAAAGACACTATGGCACATAGTGTAACTGTGTGTGAAAGAATTAGAAAACAGAAGCATTACTAAGGAGCAATAGCAATAGAAGAATAATGAAAAAGACAGTAGATAACAATAGAAGAGTTATGAAGAAGATATTAGATAACAATAGAAGAGTAATGAAGACAATGGATAACCATAGAAGAGTTATGAGGAAGATATTAGATAACAATAGAAGAGTTACGAAGAAGATATTAGATAACAATAGAAGAGTAATGAAGACAATAGATAACCATAGAAGAGTTATTAAGAAGATATTAGATAACAATAGAAGAGTAATGAAGACAATGGATAACAATAGAAGAGTTATTAAGAAGATATTAGATAACAATAGAAGAGTAATGAAGACAATAGATAACAATAGAAGAGTTATGAAGAAGATATTAGATAACAATAGAAGAGTAATGAAGACAATAGATAACGATAAAAGAGTTATGAAGAAGATATTAGATAACAATAGAATGGAGTAATGAAGACAATAGATAACGATAAAGAGTTACGAAGAACAATATTAGATAACAATAGAAGAGTAATGAAGACAATAGATAACAATAGAAGAGTTATGAAGAAGATATTAGATAACAATAGAAGAGTAATGAAGACAATGGATAACAATAGAAGAGTTATTAAGAAGATATTAGATAACAATAGAAGAGTAATGAAGACAATAGATAACAGTAGAAGAGTTATGAAGAAGATATTAGATAACAATAGAAGAGTAATGAAGACAATAGATAACGATAAAAGAGTTACGAAGAAGATATTAGATAACAATAGAAGAGTAATGAAGACAATAGATAACAATAAAAGAGTTATGAAGAAGATATTAGATAACAATAGAAGAGTAATGAAGACAATAGATAACAATAGAAGAGTTATTAAGAAGATATTAGATAACAATAGAAGAGTAATGAAGACAAAGATAACAATAGAAGAGTTATTAAGAAGATATTAGATAACAATAGAAAGTAATGAAGACAATAGATAACAGTAGAAGAGTTGATGAACAATATTAGATAACAATAGAATCATTTCAAAGACAATAGATAACAATAGAAGTTTATGAAGAAGATATTAGATAACAATAGAAGAGTAATGAAGACAATAGATAACGATAAAAGAGTTATGAAGAAGATAATAACAATAGAAGAGTAATGAAGACAATAGATAACAGTAGAAGAGTTATAACAATTAGATAACAATAGAAGAGTAATGAAGACAATAGATAACAATAGAAGAGTGGGTTAAAGATATTAGAAACAATAGAAGAAATGAAGACAACATTATTAAGAAGATATTAGATAACAATAGAAGAGTAATGAAGACAATAGATAACAATAGAAGA